TCTATCTATCTATCTATCTATCTATCTATCTATCTATCTATCTATCTATCTATCTATCTATCTATCTCTACATCAATGAACCCCAACTTGATTTTAACAGCATGCTGGGATACAACTCAAACAATTCTCACTCAGCAGCCGGTCATCTTGGGAACTGTAATCCCAATGAATCTGGAGGCTGCCGTGTTGGGTGAAAGGGTGGTTTCCTGCATAATGATAGAGAGAATTAGGTTGGGGTAAGTATGTTTCTCTAAGTAATTGGAACTCATTTTGTACTAGCATGAATGACAGTCAAGAATGGAAGTCAGTGATCTATTATTTGGAGGTAGAAGTCCATTCTGTAGAAGCTAAGGTCTACTTACGGGACCCAGAGCCTGGGTGCACTCCTACGTAGCGTATTCCCAAATGGTTATTGAATAGTCATTTTAAGTTGACAGAAAGGAGAATTTGTAAAATGCATGGTTTCAAATTTCGTTTTTGGCTTGACTTCTCTCATTTTGGGAGAGCAGCGCCTAGCATGCTACTAAAACACCCAGCTGCATTCCTTCACCCTGAATAAAAGTTGAATTCCATTGATAGATGGGAATAGTAACACTAGGACTAGCAATTAGACTTACAGTATACACCATTCCATAATGCTTTACAGCCAATGATGTGCGGTGAGCTTCATGGCCGGTGAGGCAAGCGCGAAACATGGAAGACAATTAAAGCATCAAGGAGACTGAAGGAGAATAAGCATTTTTATTGTAATACTGGATTGTAGTTTCCATCATTTTTACCTCCATTCATGGAGTTTAGTAACATTTGGAGAGTCACATTTTGCCTGGATTTGGGCTGAATATAAACAAATTAAAGTACTAAAAACTTTAATGTGTAATTGGTTCATTTTGTAATTCCAACTGCTTCCTATGAGATGAAGAATATGATCATGAAGAAATGATTTTATAGATATGTACAAGAATGAGTATGCATCTTCATTTAGCTTTGGATGGGGCTTCCAGGGTTCAAATCAAAATTATTTTTTGTCCCAACTCCACCCTTTAGACTGAAGAATGTGGTTCCTTGCATGCCCTTTAATAACTACAAATACAAGACTTTCTCCAAGGAGTCTTTCAATTGGCATTTGTTGAAAAGTTTTAAGTCAAGATTTTAGGTATTTCAATAGCAATAGCAATAGCAGTTATACTTATATACCGCTTCATAGGGCTTTCAGCCCTCTCTAAGCGATTTACAGAGTCAGCATATCGCCCCCACAGTCTGGGTCCTCATTTCACCCACCTCGGAAGGATGGAAGGCTGAGTCAACCTTGAGCTGGTGAGATTTGAACCGCTGAACTGCAGATAACAGTCAGCTGAAGTGGCCTGCAGTACTGCACCCTAACCACTGCGTCACCTCGGCTCTTGTATTTCAGGCATAGGAATTCTCATCCTCCAATTTATTTAGAGGGCTGGTGCCTCCATTCTGTCTTGATTGAACAATGGTTTCATAACACATTGGTTGTGGAAGTCATTATACTTATTCCCTCTCATTTTGTAAATATTACTGGAGCAAAGTAGTTCAATCTCTCCTTCATTCACCCTCCTTTCTTCTTCTTTTCCTCTTTGCTCTTTGAAATCTGGAGGTTTTCCCAGTCATTGCAGGCTTTCTAAACCATTCCATAAATCATGAGGAGATATTTCAAGGCCAGGGGCAGCATTTGCCATATTGTTAATTCAGTATTCGAAATCAGCTCTACCTCATGGAAAATTCAATCTAGCTCTTCCTTGCAGCATGAAAGTGAAAGAACACAAAGAGGCACACAATGTGGGGGCATCACTGGAGTTTTATTAAAAGATGTTCCCACTAACCGTTTTCTCTCAAAGATGAAATAATTGAGTTTGAATGCTCCTCGTTTGCCTTTGATAACAAAGAAGAAAGAACAAATTTCACAAAAGAATTTCTCAGCATCCAGCTGTTTTTCAGACCACATAAAATCTCTTAAAACCTTTTTAGTATTGTTTCCACCCCTTCTATTTGGCTGATAGACCCAAAGTCAGACACATCTATTTAATTTTTCACTTTTTAAATAAAAGTTCTGGACTATAGAAATATATTATATTATCAATTATTAAAATACTAAACTCAGACAGACCTGTTGAATATGCACAGGGAATTGTTGCACACATAGCAACTTCCTCAAATACACAGAATTATTTTAGTTTATAAATAATGTAAATAATGTAAATAATGTAAATAATGTAAATAATNTAATGTAAATAATGTAAATAATGTAAATAATGTAAATAATGTAAATAATGTAAATAATGTAAATAATGTAAATAATGTAAATAATGTAAATAATGTAAATAATACAAATAATACAAATAATACAAATAATACAAATAATACAAATAATATAAATAATATAAATAATAAATATAGGGATGCGGTGGCTGAATGGCTAAGACACTGAGCTTGTCAATCAGAAAGGTCAGCAGTTTGGCGGCTTGAATCCCTAGCACTGCTTAATGGAGTGAGCTCCCATTACTTGTCCCAGCTTCTGTTAACCTAGCAGTTTGAAAGCACGTTAAAAAATGCAAGTAGAAAAATAGGAACCACCTTTGGTGGGGAGGTAACAGTATTCCATGTGCCTTTGGCATTTAGTCATGCTGGCCACATGACCACAGAGACGTCTTCGGATAGTGCTGGCTCTTCGGCTTTGAAACGGAGGTGAGCACTTCCCCCCTAGAGTTGGGAATGACTAGAACATATGTGCGAGGGTAACCTTTACCTTTACCTTACTAAATAACTACATGTACCATATGTAAACATCTACTGTTTCTATAGATGTACATGAAAACTGTGATTTTAAGAAGGGAAATATAACTCAAAATAGTGTGATAGGACTAATATTTAATTTAGATTAGGTAACATAAATCTGGAAATGAACATCGCACCAAAATGGTCTGTGTGTTTGTGTGTGTGTTTGTTTGTATATATTAGTGATGAGTCATGGCAATTGCCTGCATAAGTCCCTGCAGTTTTCCAAAGTGGTTTGCCCTTGCCTCCTTCATAGGGCTGAGAGAGAGAGAGCATCTGGCCCAAAATGATCTAGCTGATTTTGTACCTTAGATGGGACTTGAATTCACAGTCTCTTGGTTTCTTAACCATGATGCCAAATTGGTTCTCTCCAAAATGGTTCCTTAATGCTTTGGGGGAAGAAGTAGTGAACTGAAAACTGTTCTGATAAAAGCAGAGCTGATGACCATGGCAGAATGAAGAGCCAGAGAATAGACTGGTTCTTTATAATTTCTCTCTGGAAAAGGAGAGGACTTGAGATTGTCCACAAGTGCTCCATATGGTTGCTTCTCATGAGAAGACTGCAAGGCAGCAGTGCCAGGTGAGTTTAGAGCAGGGATTCCCAACCTCCAGTCCAAGGACCAGAACTGGGTAACAGCATTCCAGAAACCAGGTTGCGCAAACAAGCAAAGCCCCACACATGGAATGCAGGTGGCATGTGGAACCATGCCCCCTTTGGTCCATGGAAAAACCTCTCTCCACAGAACCGGTCCCTGGTGCCCAAAATGTTGTGGGCCACTGGTTTAGAGCACTCTAACATGAGAGAGCTATCATGTCAAAACCATGTTTGGCACCTTTGAAAGGTCACTGGGTTTACATACAGGTAGTCCTCAACTTACAACCATTCATAGTGTGACCATTTGAAGTTACAATGGCACTGAAAAAAGTGACTTATGATCATTTTTCATGTCCCTAATGATTGTTGCATCATCCCCCAGGTCATGTGATCAAAATTGGGACACTTGGCAACTGGAATGTATTTTTGGTAGTTGCAGTATTCCGGGGTTATATGAACACCTTTTATAACCTTCTGACAAGCAAAATCAATATGGAAGACAGATTTACTTAACAATCATGTTACTAACTTAGAAACTGCAATGATTTACTTAATAACTATGGTAAGAAATGTCATGAAGTGAGGTGAAATTTGCTTAACAGCTGCCTTGCTTAGCAATGGAAATTTTGTGGTCAGCTGTGGACATAAATTGAGGTCTATCTGTACTTCCCTTTCTAACCACATTCGGAAATCACTTGTTAACTGCCTTTGAACT